AGGAAACTCCTTGAGAGCCAGAGGAAAAGGGGGCGATGGGATGAGATGGTTGGATGGCATCACGGACTCGATGGACATGAGTTTGAGCAAACTCCAGGAGTTGGTGACGGACAGGGAGGCCCGGCTTCAGTCCACGGGGTCACAAGGAGTCAGACACCACCACAAGGAAACTCCTCGTGGCTGGCTGGCGGAGAGCAGACTGTGTTTTGCAGGTGAAATAGCTCCTGCATCACGCGTGTGTTTCTGTCTGTCCCCGCAGGTCATTTCATAGGAAGCATGTGCAAAGCCCAGCATGCCACTGGTCCTGGGATGGACGTCGGCGAAGCCCAGAAGGGCCTCTCAGGGCCTGGCTCCTGGACAGGGGGGACGAGTGTCCCCGACGGGGCACAGGCTGAAGGGTCAGGGGGACAACCAGCAAGGCTTCTGGGAGGAGACGGGAGGGCAGCCACCTCCTGGACACGTGTTCACTCACCCAGAACCCGGGGCGGGGGCTGCCACTCGTCCACACTTCCTTGCCTGTCCGTGGGAGGACTCACCCTCCCCGTCCAAATCACACCGTGAAAAAGGACAGTCTAACACGTTCTTCTTCCCTCCTCCCCGGCTGAGGACAGGGGCGTGGTCTCTGTCTCCAGCCGGCCCAGGTGCTGGGGGCCAGGGTGGGGCGGGTTGGGCAGGGCCGCACGCGGTGGGTCTGTCTTCCGTGGAGAGCTGCTGAACGAAGGAAAGAGGTGAGGACTGAGGTCCAGGCCACAGGGAGCCCGGCAGGATCTGGAGTGGAGAAGCGCCGGGTGAAACTCTCCAGAAAGAGCACTTGAGTCCAGAGGAGCGGGTTCCCAGGAGACCGGGGTCGGGGGTTGCCCAGAGCAGCAGAAATCACTGAGATGAGCGCTCACGGGGCGGGGTGACGGCTGCGTGTTCTGACCTGAGGTCTCTATCAGTTGTCTCGTCCTTTGCTCACACAACTCTCAGCGGTGGTGGGGTGGGGTGGCCACCGCCACCGTCCCTTTTGTACAGACAGCTCAGCGACCTGCCCGAGGTCACACTGCGGCACGTGGTGGCTCCAGGCCTGCCCCAGGGAGACGGTGTGTGCCCTCCATCCCCCGCCTCCGGATCTATTCATATGAGCAGGGGCAATAAAGGCTGCCCCCCGTCCCTCGGGGAGGTTGCCTGTGACCCAGACACCCCGCATGCTTTCCCACCACACTGCAGGCAAACGGAACGGGGAGAAACCCCACCACCTTGTAACTTCTAGAAGGAGGGGAAAAAAACCCAAACAATTTCCTTGAAAGGCCAGCGGTAACCCAACTTGCTCCTTGGAAGAAAAATTATGGCCAACCTAGACAGCACAGTAAAAACCAGAGACGTGACTTTGCTGACAAAGGTCCATCTAGTCAAAGCTATGGTTTTTCCAGGAGTCATGTATGGATGTGAGAGTTGGACTATAAAGAAAGCTGAGCGCTGAAGAATTGATGCTTTTGAACTGTGGTGTTGGAGAAGACTCTTGAGAGTCCCTTGGACTGCAAGGAGATCCAACCAGTCCATCCTAAAGGAAATCAGTCCTGGGTGTTCATTGGAAGGACTGACGCTGAAGCTGAAGCTCCAATATTTAGGTCACCTGATAAGAAGAACTGACTCATTTGAAAAGACCCTGATGCTGGGAAAGACTGAAGGCAGAGGAGAAGGGGACAACAGAGGATGAGATGGCTGGACGGCATCACTGACTCAATGGACATGAGTTTGAGTAAACTCCGGGAGTTGGTGATGGACAGGGAGGCCTGGAGTGCTGCAGTCCATGGGGTCGCAAACAGTCAGGCATGACTGAGCAACTGAACTGAACTGAACTGAACTAAACCCAACTCCCTGGCATTTTGAATTTTTTTTTTTTCCTCAAGAGGAGTCTGGAAGGAATTACACAGTGTTCACAAAGACTGGAGAACTTCCAAGGACTTGAGAATTCCGCATACGTGCCAGCTCCGATCCAGTCACCTTGAAACAAGAACCCACACTCTCTCAGTGGGCCCCTTGGGGGGAATTGTCTCAAGTCCTCCGGACATGTCACGTGCGTGAGGACGTGGGAGAGCTGGGCTTCGTGTCCCTGCACGCCCTCCACCAGCACAGTGGGGCCAGGAGCTCTGGGTGTGGCAGCCCTTCCTCCTGGCCGGGACCACGCTCGGGGCAGGGGCGACCTCAGCATCCAAGTCTGCCTGGGGTCTCAGGCCCACAGACCAGACCCAGGGCAGCCTCGCCCAGCGGGACAGAGGGTGCCCCAGCTCCTGGGGGAGGTCAGAGCCCGGAAGGGTGGGCCTGCAAGCCCTTCTCTGGGCTGGAGAGAGCCTGGGGCCTCCTGGGGGCTCCGCGGACCTCCCCCTCCAGAGGCCTGAGCGGTCGGCACAGCTGTGAGCTCTCAGCCCTTCCCGACGCTTGGAGAGTTCTGTCTCCTGCTTCAGCAAAAGGGCTTCCACCTCCCATGGAATCAGCACGGGCTGAAAACCAAGCCTCCCTGGCCAGCCCCGAGCCACGAAGACGCCTGCCCCAGTGGACCGGCCCCACGGGGGGCGCCCTTCAGAGGGGAGCCAGGGCAGGTGGCTTTGCCAACATCCTGTGTAAACCGCGTGAGCCGTTGGACACCCTTAGCAGGATTTAAAGCAGATGATCACCAGTCCCATTAGAGCCAGGGGAGAAGGTTTGGGGCTCGCCTCCTCACCCCGAACGACACCAGGGAGCAATCACAGCTTCTCTGGAAGGTTCCACGGCTGCTTCAGCAGGCGGGCGGCCTCCAGGGGACTCAGGTGGCCAGACCCCGAGCAGCAGGCAACCCCCTGGGGCCCACCTCAGGATGGAGAGCGAGGCCCCAGGCAGACTGTTTCCGGGAAGAAGTTCACCCCATGGTGCAATTTCAGCTCGTGAGCAAGTTTTGAGAATATGAGTGTATTTAAATAAGAATATTACAACTGTGTCCTTAAATGTGACTTCAAGAAGGCATTGCTAGGCTTCCCTATGGTTCAGTGGTAACGAATCCGACTGCCAGTACAGGAGATGCAGGTTCGATCCCCGGTCCGGGAGGATTCCACGTGCCGAGAGGCAACTATGCCTCACTAAAATTACTGACACCTGCGGGCCCTACAGCCTGCATTCCGCAAGAAGAGTGGAGCCCCTGCTAGCCGCAGCTAGACACATCCTGAGTGGCAGCGACAAAGACCCAGCTCAGCCAAATAAATCAATCTTACATTAAAAGAAAGAGGCCACTGCTTTCTTACTTGGGAGTCGCTGCATCAGGGGGTCAATTTCATCCTCCGTTTCTTGCGCCCCCCACCCCCTCCCTTCTCTCTGAAGGAGAGGAGCTTCCCTTTCACGGGGACTGACTCTGCAGCAGGGTGCTGGCCGGAGCTCACAGGCATGCCGTGAGCCCCACAGGTACAGCAGTGAAGACGTGAGGCTCAGAGAGGCCCTAGGTCGGGACCAGGCCCAATGCCCACCCCAAGGGTGCATGTAAATCAAACTACACCAGTCGGCCCCACGGCCCAGCTTTAACACACGTTTGCATGCTCACAACTGAGCACAGCGCATGGTACGCAGTAGGTGCTTATAAGCAGGGTGGACGCGGGGGAGAAGCCACGCGTGTGGCGGCAGTGAGCCAAGGCAGGCAGGAAGACACGCAGACACCCCGGGCTGACGAGTGTGTCTGACACCGGGGTTAAGCCTCACCTGAAGCCAGGCTTTCCCTGGAATTCAACCCCATGAACCAAAGCATGAATCCTCTCCTCTCTCCCAGCTTTTCTGGAGCATCTGCTTAAACTGGCCTTCCCGTCACTTCCAACAGAGTTCACACACACAGTGCAAACGCAGAGGTGTGCCTGTGTGTCCCGCCGCGACCTCTGGCCCCAGAGGACGAGGGCAGTCCCCTCGCCCTCCGGCCTCCTCCATCAGGCGCCCCTCTCTGAGCCTCCCCCGCCCCCCACCCCCCACCCCCCGCCCCATCACGCCCCCTCTCTGAGCCTCCCGCTCCCCGCCCCCCGGCCCCATCACGCCCCCTCTCTGAGCCTCCCCCGCCCCCACTCCCCACCCCCCCACCCCCATCACGCCCCCTCTCTGAGCCTCCCCCGCCCCCCACCCCCCACCTCCCACCCCCATCACGCCCCCTCTCTGAGCCTCCCGCTCCCCCACCCGCAGACTCCCGTCCTTCTCTGACGCTGCGGTCGGCTGTTCCCCCCACGGGACCTCGGGTGCAGCCGGCACAGCCCTGAACCGGGGCTTTTGCACCTGCTGTTCCCTTTGCCAGAACCTCACGTGTCCTGCTCTGTCCTGCTCCCCGCTTCACCCCAGATCCAATCAAACATCGCCGCCTCAAGAAATCTGCTCCCCGGCCACACTGCCCTGAGCTGGGCCTGAAGTCACATCCTCTGTGCGTGTGGATTCTCCGCCAGCCACCCCTGAGCGTCGGCACCGTGAGGGCCTTGCTATGGGCCCCGCACCGTGCCTGCTGGGGATGGAAACAGTAACAACCCCAGAGCTTGAGTTTGGGAGAGATCTTTTCTTAGACCACGAATTGTGATCAAGGAATAGGGACAGAATCTGTATAAATACAGTCCTCATCAGAAATGAAAAGTCCGACCAGAAGGGGGTTTACAACTGCTGAAAATATCACACCCGTGAAGAACTCACTTGCGGGGGCTGGGACAATCTGCGGAAAGGGCTTCCCAGGTGGCTCAGTGGTAAAGAACCCGCCCGCCAATGCGGGAGACTCAGGAGTGCAGGTTCGATCCCTGGGTCGGGAAGATCCCCTGGAGGAGGACAAGGCGACCCACTGCAGTATTCTTGCCTGGAGAATCCCACGGACAGAGGAGCCTGGCGGGCTGCGGTCCACGGGGCTGCAAAGAGTCGGACACCACTGAAGCGACGGAGCACGCAACATGCGTGTTTAACAGAGGCGCCTACTCTGTGGTTCGGAAGTGGGTGGGTGGTTTGGGCAGGAGCTCCTGCCGCTCCGGGAGGACCCGCCGATGAGCCTGGCCAAGCGGTCTCAGGCGTCTTCAGACAAGCGTGAGCGTCTGGGGATGAGCCGTCGGTTCTCTGAGAGCCGGGACATGGCAGAGCTCAGGTCGGACGGCACCACAGCTGATCTCCGCGGGCGGGCGCTGGCCGACGCTCTGCACGGCGTGCGATGCTCCCTCCAGCCCGGCCCCAGCCACTGCGTCAGGACAGCAGCTGCGCCCGGGGACACAGAGACCGGAAGGGCAGGGCACTGCCTCCCCTCCCTCCCAGGCAGCGCTCTCATTCAGCTCCTCTGTTATATTTCTCCTCTCTTATATGAAACCTCCGCAGCTTGGACGCCGGGGCTGGAAGGTTTCTGAGGTGGCCTGGCCCAGTCCTCCTCTGGGGTGTCACCATCCGCTTGCACTCACCACCTTCCCAAAATCGATACATATCTTGGAGAAAAAAAAAAAAAAAAACAATGTGCTTCCGGGCAGTAAGTAACCTTCCAGCCGCCAGTCACTTTCATGACAGTTCCTGGCAGGGGTAGGGGGCCCTGCCCACGGGCCGTTGGCCCCGGAGCACGGGGCCTGGCACCGAGTGACCCGCAGCCGCCCCAGCCTGACCCGCGGCCGCCCGAGCCTGAAGGTCGGGGGGCCCATGATCCCAGCAGTGAGGCAGGGCAGCAACGCACAGTCCCTCCGGGCCAGCCGGCAGGAGCGGCGTCCCCACCCTCCAGCCCCGAACGCCCCTTAGAAAGGGGTGGGAGCTGCAGGAACATCCACACCCATGACAGAAGCCAGCAACCCTCTCATCGGCCTCTGGCGGCAGCCCGTGGGCACTTGTCCCGTGCACGCGGCTGCCAGGGCCCTCTCTCGATTGCAGAGGCGCCCGCGTATCTGTCCTCAGCTCTCTGTCGCCCGCTCGCAGGCTCAGCCCCAGGAAACGCATTTCCCAGAGCAGCGGCCGCGCAGCTCCAGCAATGCCCGGGAACGGGTTCATCCGCTGCTGCGTCACAGGCCACTTGGAGGCCCGTGGACGGCTCCACCCCGCCCCCGTCATGAGCCAGACGGGCTCTGACTTCCCGCCGAAGGATTAAAACCAAACCAAACACCAGCGTGCTCAGGCAGGAGACCAGCTGTCTGTGATGACCATCCGTTTCTAACCGGCAGGAAAGGGGCCCTTCCGGCAAACACGAGCCCCACACACAAACTGCCAGCCGCCCCAGAGCCCAAGACATAAAAACGGTAATTACTATACATTCCTGTTATAATAGTAGCTTGCATTTTAACAGTCCTTTGCAGTATGAACAAAAGCCACTGCAGACGTGGAGAGAACTTCTCTGTACAGGCTGCCGTCGAGACACTGGAAGAACCGCGCTCTTCTTGGGGGCACAACTGAGCCCATGGTTCACGGACCCGAACCTCACGCCTCATACAGGAATGAACCCTGCACCGATCATGGGCTGACATGCAAAACATAAAAAAAAAAACGGAAACCCAAAAACCACGAGGAGAAAACCAATGCCTAGAACTGGCAAGCCTTTCCCTTGACACTGAAAGTACAACCAGAAAAGGAAAATAAGCTGGAACTCAGGGAGCGTAACATTTTTGCCTCATGAAAGGCGCTACAAAGACGGTGAAAAGACAAGCTCTCGACGGGGATGAGTATTTGCAAACCACACTCCCGACAAAGGAGTGGCGGTTAAATTTATCCAGATTATTGAAAGAGTGCGCACAGCTCACCCGGACAAAACCACCAGCCCAGCTGGAAAACGGGCAAAAGACATGGACACTTCGCCTAATCAGACAGACAGGCAGCACAGATCAGCCCATGAAAACATTCAACGTCACCAGCCATTAGGAAACCAGGGAGTTCCGCCGCACGCCCATGGTGAAGCTGAATGTCAAAATTAGTGCAACGCCAAACGCCGGGAAGAATTCGCTGGGAATGCAGGACAGCGGTGCAGCCGCTCCAGAGAAGACGTTGGCGGTGGTTTCTGATAAAACTAAAGATACAATTACCACGTGAACCGGCAATCACACTCTGGGGCATTTATCCCAGGAAATGAAAACCTCTGCTTGCACAAAAATCTCTACAAAAACGTGTACCGCAGTTTTATTGTAATAACCAAAAACTAGGAACAACCCAGATGGCCTTAGGTGGTTGGCGGTTAAGCAGATCCTGGGCTGTCCACAGCACAGAACGCTGCCCAAGTGGGAACGCCACTTGGATGGATCCCAAGGCCACAAGCCAGCGTGGAGAGAGCCAGTCCCAAGAGGTTATGTGCAGTCTGCTTCCATTTATATCACATTCTTAAGTGACAGAGTTACAGAGATGGAGACAGATGAGTGGTCGCCAGGGGTGACGTGATGGGGGCAGAAGGAGACGCGTGTGGTTACGAAAGGGCAACGAGGGGAGTCCTGCAGTGGAGATGCTCTTCTGCGCCTTCTGCACCTCGACGGTGGGGGCGGACGCGCTGCCAGGGCCGTCTCTCTGTCCCTGGTCACTCACAGTGGGAGCCCGGCGACCAGGCTCCAGGGACGCCCACGCCACACGGAGCGGCTCTGACAGTCGACAGCCTCCGCCAGACCCCTAGACGACACCAGCATCGTCAGCGAGACGGGGAGCGGCGGAGACACCAGGGGGCCCCAGCCTCCGCCCCAGGTCACCCCGAGCCTTGATGCCAGCCAGCCGATGCCCCAGCCGTGGTGCAGCCCAAGCCACACGGCCCCAAGGGGGCTGGCATCACATGGGGTGAAGTACCGAGGTCGCAGAGCGTGGGTCCCCAGCCGAGTCCTCCTCCCTGCCCCCCGAATCAGGCCTGTGGTCCTGGCTGCCTGTCAGCTCCGCCTCCTAGTCAATGGCGAGGGGGGGGTGCAGGGGTGGGGGGTTGTGAGCAGCCCCCCAGGTCTCCTTGCTTCCATCTTCCATCCAGAGACCGTGCACATCCACAGGAGCAGTCCAGAGGGGTGACAGAGGGCAGCAGACCCAGCCCAGAATCAGGGGCTCGTCTCAGGCAGCGACACACGGGGTCATCGGGGGCGGGGGCTCCTAGGGCCGCTGCAGACGGGGCCCCCGCCCCCAGGGCACCCCCACCCGGACCTGCAGGGCTGCCGGGCTGGGCATCTCGGATCACAGGCTGGGATGGCAGGTGCTTCAAAGGCAGCCTCGCCCTGTGCTGCGGAGTCCACCCCAGTTCCACCTCAGCACAGGCCAGTCCCTAAGATTCAGCAAAGGCTGGCCGTGAGGTGGGTGGGAGTGAGCCCCCCGTCAGCCCGAGGGGCCTGCCCAAGGTCGCAGGCCTGGGAGCACAGCCGGAGCCTGCAGCCCCCGCCCCCACTGCCCGGCCTCCCTGCTGCAGGGACTCTGCCCTGTGCCCCCAGAAGCGTTTCTAGTCCGAGCAGCACATATGAAACGACAGAGGTGACAACCCCTTCCCAGGGAAAGCAGAGCGGAGCACGCCAAGCCCGCCCAGAACACAGCGAGCCAAGTGGCCTGCCTGTTTCCCTGATTCTAACAATTTCCGCTGATCCCGACACAGAGGACCTCTGTAATTCTGCCCCGTGGTCAGCCAGCTTATCTGAACATTAAAAGTTAATTTACTCGCTGCTTCTCCTGCCTGTTATAGCCCTTCTGTGGGCTTTGCTTCCCCCCAAAGCATAAGCCCTGCCTCCTTGTAAACATGAAACATTTAATCGGCAATTCCGAGGCCTGAGCCTTGGCATCCGATCACATCTTCCCGGGGGGCTCTGTGCGGCCACGACCACGGCTCAGCCCCACGCGGGCCCCGCGGAGGCCCAGCCCGAGGACACGCCCATTGGGGCAGGCAGGGGCAGGAGGCACTTGGCCAGAGTCAGAGGCGAATCTAGCATCCAGCATGACGGGGGCTCAGCGCCCACACAGTGCTGGCCTGATGGAACTTTCTGCAGCCACAGGAGCCCTGTCCTGTGGCTCTGGGCCTGTGTGCCGACAGTGGGGACGGCCGGGTGGACGCTCGGAGTGGGACCCGGCACAGGCCGTGGTCCTGGATTCTGGCTCCCACCCCAGCCGCTGGTGCTCATGTGTTCCCGTGCAACGCCAGGCAAGTCCCTTCCGTGGTCCACGCCGGTGCTCCTCGGCCATAAGGGGGGGTGAAGACCAGCCACCCCCAAAACACTGTGACATGAGGAACGTGAAAGCTTAGGCCCGTGCCCTCCGAGGGGGTCACCATTCTGAAGAAAAGCAGAACCCCAGTTTCTGCTGCTAGGTAAGAAAACAGCACGCTGATGGAAGAATGTTCTAAAAGGGAACACACCAGAGTGATGACGGCAGGGCTCGTGTAGGCGCTCAGTCAGGGATTTATTTTAGCCTGGATTTTCCAAACTTTCTGTGTGTTTCTGTCTTGCGTTGATAATAAAATCATGTATGTGTTGTTGTTGTTCAGCCGCTCAACTGTGTCTGACTCTTTGCGACCGCATGGACTGCAGCATGCCAGGCCTCCCTGTCCATCACCAACTCCCGGAGCTTGCTCAGACTCATGCCCACTGAGCCGGTGATGCCATCCAACCGTCTCATGTTGACATTAAAACAGTGCATCTGCTCATCCCCGTGCGGCCTGCTGGTGGCGCTGGGGGAGGCTGAGAGCAGCCCCGTGTCGCCAGAGCTGCAGGGTGGACGGGGGTTGAGAAGCGAGAGGACTTCCTGGAGGAGGTGGCGCCTGCCCCTTCTCAGAGGGGCGGAAGACCTGATGGGCCTTTGTGGAGGGGTGTGAGGGCAGACGTGGGGCTCGGGGCTCGGGCCGTCCCCCTGCCACCCCCTCACTGGCTGTTGGGACTCAGAAAACACGATATGTGTCATCCTGAAGTGTGCGGCAAGCACCCCGACTTCCTTACAGGGGACATGGGGGGTGGGGGCCACGCACAACCTCTGCAGAGTGACAGCCCCCCCGAGCCGGGCCCCCCAGGCTGGGTGGGCCGGCATCCTACACCCCGCAGGTGGACCCCAAAGCCCACGCCGCTGCGGAAGCCACAGAGGCCTGGCGCTCAGGGGCCTGCCCTGGCGGCTCGGGGCGCCGTGAGGGCCCGGGTGGGCGCGCCACCTGCTTGCCGGCCAGCCTCTCGGGTCCCAGCCGCCCCCGCAGAGGCCAGCCCCGCGGTCAGCGGTCAGCCCGCCCCTGGGGTGGTCTCGCATGACTGCTCGGGTCACGCAGGCGTCCTTTATCAAAGCCTGCGGTGGCCACCGGGACTCGCATGCGCTGCCCCGGGGGGGCCTGCTGGATTAGAGGGACGCCGCCTCCGGGACAGCAGACCTCCTTCCTGCAGCGCAGTGTCCAAGTCCCCCCACCAGACCCTCCTCCCTACAGGTGACTGGAGCGGACAGCAGAAGCGGCCACGCAGGACCCTCCACCCCGGCTGTACTAGGGGCGCCTCGACAGGCCAGATCCTCGCTACCGAACAAGCTCGCGATGATCTGAGAAATGTACATTGCGAAACACCGCAATCAGACAGCTCAACGCGTCCGCCCCCTCACAGCTAACTTTCTCTGGGGAGGGGGGCGGGGGTTGTGGTGAGAAAACCTAAAATCTGGCTCCAAGGTGGCACTAGTGGGAAAGAACCCCCTGCCAGTGAGACGCGGGCTCCATCCCTGGGTCGGGAAGATCCCCTGGAGAAGGAAATGGCCACCCACTCCAGTGTCCTTGCCTGGGAAATCCCACTGACAGAGGAGCCTGGTGGGCTGCAGTCCACGGGGTCGCAAAGAGTTGGATACGACTGAGCGCACGTGGATGGTCCCCGTGCGGCACGCGAGACCCCAGAACACACTCATCTCAGAAAGGAAAGTGAGCGCCCGCCAGCCAGCACCTCTCCCTTCCCCACCCTCAGCCCCTGGCAGCTACCAGCCTCTGGCATCTTAAACACTCTTCACGTCGATGGGACCGTCTTTCTCCCCCACTTATCTCGCTCAGCGTGAGGCTCCCCAGCCTCTTCCCTGCTGTCAGGATGGGATGTTCTTCTTCGTGGCTGAACAGGACTCCTACCGCCAAGCTGTAGAAGCGAGCTGAGCGGCCTCCCACCAAGAAGATGCAGATACGGACACAGTGGGGTACTAGCCTGATGCAAT